CAATCACCTGTACAAACGACACCTGTACAAGACAATCACCTGTACAAGACAATCACCTGTACAAACGACACCTGTACAAGACAATCACCTGTACAAGACAATCACCTGTACAAACGACACCTGTACAAGACAATCACCTGTACAAACAGCTACTTCCCAATTCCTCCCTTGTGTATAGTTCACATTATATAGACACTGTGTAAGGCGATCACCTGTCTTAAGGCGGTCACTTCCTCACTGACAACGGCTGGACGTCTTAGACAGTTTCTTCTCTACTTACTACTGTATATTTAAAAAATCTTTAAAATACTACTTATCTGTTCTCAAAAAGGTATAAACGCAGAAGACAAAAAAACGACAAGTCTGTCTGCTTTGGATTTACACAAATATGATGATCACTTTTCTTGGCTTTCTCTATGTGCCTTCATCTGCACCATCATCATCCACTGACACGACAACAAAACACCATCATCATCCACTCATTATCATCCACTCATTATCCTCCACTCATTATCATCCACTCATTATCCTCCACTCATTATCATCCACTCATTATCATCCTCTCATTATCATCCACCGACGCTGCAACAAAAGCATGCTGATAGAACAAAGCAATTCTGACATTCTGTGCAAGACTTGACAAAATATAGTGTTGAGCTATCACAAGCAGAAATCATTGCAGAAAAAGAAAACAATTCAAACCCAAAAAGCAAATATCACAAAACAGAACTGTTGAGAAACAGAGAGCAAACCCAAGACTCTGAGAGGTAAGTAATGTACATATTGCAACTTGACAGTTCAAATAAAACAGATTATTTCATATTCATTCACGTTCAGGATTCTTATCGAAACAAAACAAAATACATCCAAACATAAGCAAAAACCTGTAATCCCCGACTGCGACATAACACACACACACAAAAAACTGCAGTCATTTTCTAAAGCACAGTATATGCAGTTTGGACAATTTTACAGGAGAGACAAAAAACGGAATATTGTTGCCAAGAAAGGAATATATTTTCTGACACCCAAAGTCAACATTTGTAAGAATACAGTTTTGATCAGATTTTCTTTATTATCTTCAAAGCAAACGCTGTTATAATGGTAGCAACATGCAGTTTTTTTGTTCTCCCGTAAAATGGCAAAAAATGCATGTACTGTATTTTCAAAATTGACGGTAGAATACAAAACCCAGGCCAGTTACAAAAGACCCACGAAAACCAAGATTTGAACAGAGAATGTGCAGTTGTGCTCTCCCTTGCCTACTTCCGAGAAGGAGTTGCTTACCTAACAAAAAGTAGGTGTAAGTTAAGTAAACGTTTTTGACTAGCACACAAGACAGACCCCACACTGCTTATTAAGTATCATATATATATAAAAATGTGCAAGAATTTGAAAAAAGGTAACATTGTAAATAATCGAAGCATGACTTAGTTCACATTTCTCAGGACAAGAACAAACACATGTATTCACAGCATCATGGTCGCGATGGAATAGAAAACACAACGTAACAAAGAAACAATAATAATAATATGACATTGACCAGTAAGTAAATAGACTTTAAATATAATATACATCTATATATATATATATAAACGTATGTAAAGACAAAGTCCTGTACATTTTGATAGTAGGATAATTTGAAATGTTGAATAAGTAGAGGAGACGAGACACGTAGACACCAGTATGAGGGTCAAGGCTTCCCGAAGTGGCGGCACGATAGAAACAGTCGGAGAAAAGGGAGGAAATACAACAAGTGGTCGTCTGCTTGTCGCTTTACACGATCCGCTACAGCAACAGCAGCAGCAACAACAACAACAACAACAAGTGGTCGTCTGCTCGTCGCTTTACACGATCCGCTACAGCAACAGCAGCAACAACAACAACAGCAGCAACAACAACAACAACAACAACAAGAAGTGGTTGTCTGCTCGTCGCTTTACACGATCCGCTACAGCAACAGCAGCAACAACAACAACAACAACAACAACAACAACAACAACAACAACAACAACAACAAGTGGTCGTCTGCTCGTCGCTTTACACGATCCGCTACAGCAACAGCAGCAACAACAACAACAACAACAACAACAACAAGTCGTCTGCTCGTTGCTTTACACGACCCGCTACAGCAACAGCAACAACAACAACAAAAACAACAACAACAACAACAAGTGAAAGTGTAAAATGCAAGGAAAAGTTTGAGAAACAAGCACCTGGAGGTATAGAGTGACAGAAGAACTCTTTGAGAACAAACAACTGTAGAACTGACAAAGTAGAGATACAACAAGAGACACCACAGTTGGTCAATTCAAGGAACCTTTCACCACGACGCAACATCCTTCCTTACAGCACACACACAACTGCCACAGTCTATTCAGAAACAATTTCACTTTGCTCTACCACAGAATAAAAATGGAAGAAGAAGAAGAAGAAGAAGAAGAAGAAGAGGAAAAAACTGGACTAACTGAAGAGAGTCAATCTAAACGTTCAGATATTTATCAAAGGGCTACAACCACAAATGTGCGACAAAATGATTCGACGTAACTAAACAAACGGAGAAATCATTTTAAAACCTGCAGAGGGCTGAATGTATATATATATTTCAACACAATACATAAAGCACAGAAGTTATAATAACTTGAATTTCAAAAAAAAAAAAAATGACAACAGCAACTTTTGCTATGGAAGGCAGACCTTTGCCCGTAGCCAGCTACAGACTTCAACATAAAGTAAGGACCACCTTGACAGGCAGCCCGGATTTTTTTTTAATAAGAAAAAAAAGACAGCAAGGAATGTTTCAATTTTTTTGCTCTGAAAGTGTTAATGGGTTACCAACGCGTACTGCAAAGCTTCCTAAAGGGGAAAAACCACAACGTGCAACAGCACAGAAATCCTTGGAGAATTTTAGCGAAACTTCCTGTTTTTTATTGACTTGTGTGCAACACCACGGACATACCTCACTTAAAATTTCTGGTGCACGTCCTAATGGACGTATGATCTCGAACTGTGCTCACTTTGGTGGCAATATAAACTGCCATTAGGGCAAAATCCAGTATCGCATCAATATGCCACCAAGACGAAAGCTGAGAGACTTTGATTGTGCCAGAGCTATGGCAAAGCTGCAGGATGGAGTTGGAGCCCGAGAAGTTGCCAGAAGGCATGCAGTGTCACACTCTGTCATTGTCCGCTTGAGGGAGTGCCATCACGCCACTGGATCAGTCCAAGAACGCCCACGTGCAGATCGACCCAAGACGACCACTCAGAGTGTTTGCAAGTGGTCCTAAACTTATGTTAAAGTCTGTATGTCGTGGGAAAGTCGAAGAGGACCAGGCTAGCCACAGGTCAGAAGATACACGATGGTACCGACACAGGAGGGAAACTGTCGTTCACTTACAATATGACGCAGCAACACATCACTATCAATCATAACTTACAAAACCGGCATGAGAATGCAGGACACGGACATACAGTACAACACTGCAATCAGTCATCAAACGTATATCCGTAAAGGTGTTTGAATACTCAATACAGATATATATATATATATATATATATATATATGATTCATGGAACGTTCAGTCAAAACGTGTATTTCTTTACTTGGATACAGAATGAGAAACATTTCGTATTTACCAGAGGAGCCAACAGGCTACGAAATATAAAAATCTGGAACTTTTAAAACCCTGTGGAGTCGCGTCTGGGGGAACCTGAAATGTACAGATCATACTGTCCTACGCATCTTGTATTAAAACTATTTTTTATACGTTGCGACGATCGCCCAGAAGTCATTCAAAACCCCAATAATTTTATATATTAAGATTTCCAGATTTATCTGAAAAATTGGCACCTCTGATGTACTTAACTGCATGTACCTAATAACATAAATACGATGAAACAGAAGGCGGGAACTAAGTGGCTTGACACCAACACTGACAGACAGGCAGGCAGACAGACAGACAGACAGACGCACACTCAGACCACAGACTACAACACTCAGCGACGGGCGGTCCGGATCTAGGTCGTCTGCACCAGGTAGTCGTCAGGGTTGCCCGTGCCGCTCTCGGTGGAGCCGTAGCCTTGACCTCTCTGACCCCCCGAGGTCACGCCGTTCCCCTCCTGGTCGCCAGACAGGTCCTGGGTGAGCACCTGCGCCACAAACGGCTGAGGGGGAGAAAGACGGGCGAGCAGAGTAAGGCACAGAAAGAAGGGCGAGCAGAGTAAGGCACAGAAAGACGGGCGAGCAGAGTAAGGCACAGAAAGATGGGTGAGCAGAGTAAGGCACAGAAAGATGAGTGAGCAGAGTAAGGCACAGAAAGATGGGTGAGCAGAGTAAGGCACAGAAAGATGAGTGAGCAGAGTAAGGCACAGAAAGATGGGTGAGCAGAGTAAGGCACAGA